CGAGCAGAAGCTGAAGGGCCGGCAAAGGGACCAGAAACACGTACGAGCAAATTGCAAGGGGGGTGTCGCGGTCCCGAGATGGAAAAGCTGAGCCCTTGGGAACACAGGGTGCAGAGACAGCTGGGATGTGAGCGAGCTGGGAGGAAAATTCATTTATGGAAACACGTGGGTCTGCAGGGTCGGTCTGTGGTCCGCGGGTGTGACTCTGCACGCATTTGGGATGTCGCAGGACTGATGTTGCTGAACAGTGGGGTGAAGTTTGGAGACAGGTCCTGGCGGGTGGGAGGCAGTGTCCAGCCGGCAGACAGCCATCGGCAGCGGGCAGGGAGTCTGTCACATCTCCTCTGCGGAGGTGCCGATGTTGCTGGCCCTCCCATTCGTGTTTTTGGTGGTGCCCTTTCGTCCCTGCGTGCCGGGAGATCCGGCTCCGGTCCATGGGATGGACTGTGATGTACATCGGGAAGGTGAACCTGGTCCCAAGATACAGAACACCAGTTGATGTGAGCTGGTGAACTTTGACTGTTGGGTCTTTGCTAATTGGACATAGGTCACTTGTCTTTACACCCAACTGATTTCCCTGAGTAATTACAGCATGCAGAAAGAGGTGGAGGAAATTGGGGACCATAAGTCATTTTGGGCTGAAAAACCCAAATTGTCCCTTTCCCCCAGCATCATCCATCCCAGCACTGATCCCTCTCCTTGTCTCTCCAGATCTTGATCCATATCGGCTTCCTGACGGAGGAGTCGGGGGATGTTTTCAGTCCGCGGGTGCTGAAGGGGGGCCCGCTGGGCGAGATGGTGCAGTGGGCTGATATCCTGGCTGCCCTCTTCCTCCTGGGACACAGCCTGAGGGTCACAGTCTCCCTGAAGGACCTACAGAGGTGGGTGCTACGGTGCTATGGGTGTGCAGTCTCCCCCCGAGAGAGTCTGCCCCCCCAACACCGCATGTGTGGGTTGCATTGAGGTCTTGCATGAAAGCTCAAAGTCTGCAAAGTCTTGGGGGTGGCTTTTCCCCCATCTGCATCTCGGGCTGCGCTGGTGCTCTACTGATGCAAGTGTTGGGTGGGTGCAGACCACCAGCATCATGGCTAGGATTGATCCCATCCCTTCTGCATCCCAGGCAAGTGGGAAGGCCTGGTACAAAGTAAGGCTTTACAGCAGGGCTTTGCATGGGGCTGATGTGGAGATGTCTGGGGCAGGGCTTTGCCCTTTGGTCCCAGTACTGGATCTGAGCAGCGTTAGTCCCCTGCTGTGTCAGCACACAGCATCGCCCGTGTCCCCTCACACCTGCCTAGAGCTGGGTATGGGAAAGGCTCCCTTTTACCTCCCAATTCCCCAGGGATGCCGTCTGTGGCTGCAGGATGCAGGTGTCCTGCATCTCGCTGGCTCTTCCCACCGTGCATGGCCACGCTCAATCCCCACGGCTTTGCCAGCGTTGTTTGAGCATCGACTGTGCTCTCCTTCCTTCCTTCCTTCTTTCCTTCCTTCCTTCTTTCCCTCCCTTCCTGCTCCGCCGCAAGGCAGGCAGCTGGGGCGGCTGCCAAAAAGAACCTGCATCCCTTGCAGGGGGGTGGCAGCCACCAAGGAGTCCCCCTCAGGAGGTGTTGGTGGTGGCCTGGGGACCTGCGGGGGAATTTGCTGCTGCTGGGGCACTTCCCACGGCGGGATGGGCTTTTTGTGCCGTGGGATATGGGGCGATGTGGGGTGAAAGCGTGCAAACAGCTACGCCGGGCCACCCTACAAGTGTCTCCAGACAGCACCCTGTCTCCAAAAGGGACCGTTATTAGACGGAAAACGTAAGAGGGAGAAGATAACTGTGCCGCGGTCCTCTCTGCTGATGCAGTTCTGTTATTACTGGGCTGACACTGCTGCCTCCTGTAACCTCACAAGGTTTGCTTGCCTCCTGTGAGACATCTCGAGTGGAGGGCAAGTGCCAGGGAAAATGCAAATTAGGATGGGTTATAAATTGAGAAAAGCCTGAAGCTGCCTCGGGGACTGGGCAGGTTTTGGGCGATGCTAAGCCCAGCATCGGCCGCGTAATGAGCCATGCTGAAAAGGGAGTGAAAAAACCCCAACAAGCCTGGAAAAAAAAAACCACACAAACAAAACAAACAACAAAAAACCCCAACCCAGCCCCTGCGGCATTCAGAATTAATGAACGGAATTAGTTCCCGACTAATTAAGTAAAAAAAAAATAAATCTTGGTCCTAATGCAAAAGGCAGCAGCTTCTCAAAGAGGCGGGCATGGATCACGGCAATCTCTGCGTGGCGTGCTGAGCTAAATTGACGTGCTAAATAATATTTGTGTACTTAAGGATGAAAGAAGTTAATGGGTGGGAGGGTTGTGTTGTTGTGTGGTTCTTATTTGTGTTTTTTAATGAAGAGCCTCATGGTGGTCATTTGACGGGGGGAAGGAGCTGGCTGAGTCTTACGGGGGGGATTGCAGCATCCGTCTCCCTTTGCCAGTGACTCTGGAGAGAGCTGCGTTGCTGCCTGTGGTATTTTGCCTTTCTCAGAAGCACAAGAGCGTCAACATTGCTTGGCAGTCATGAGACCTCCTCTTCTGACGTGGATTTAGACGTGTCCCCTGGGATGCCTGGGAATGGCAGCTCCGTCGTTTCCCCTTTGTAGCTGTGATGGGGAGCGGGCAAACCGGGCTGGGGCCGCACATCTCGCACTTCTCTCTCTCCCAGTGATAGAAACCGTCCCCACCTCCCCGAGCGTGTGTCCTGTGCCTGGCTTTGATGACATTTTAAATGCTGGACACCCACATCATGGGCCCATCTCTACATTGATGGGGCTGGGGCAAGAGGAGGCAGGACCTGGGGCTGTAGCCAGGTCCCCTCTGTCCCTTTGGAAGCCGAGCCCAGTGTTCGCGGGGACCCTCCTGCAGCCCATCAGGCGATGGGTTAATGTGGGTGTCGTAGGGGGAGCAGAGGTCCCCCCCCAAGGGGAGGACTGAGCAGAGCCAGCAATCCTGCTCGGTGCTTGCAAATCTCTCAGCAGCGTCCCTGCTATCAGGCTGGTACGGCATTAGCGGCGGCTCCAAGGAGTGCTGAGATAAGCCTTCACCCGATCGCGAGCAAGCGGGAGGCTTAGCAGAACACAGGTAATTAATCGAGTTGCGCTAATAGTTAATCTTGGGTTCTTCGTTAAAGCCTGGAGGGGACGTTCGCGTAGCCACAGCTTTGGGCAGGGGTTGGTACCCAGAGAGCTGAGGGATGTGCTAGGGGCTGGAGCTGGGCTGCAGGGATGAAGCAAAGCTAAAGCCGTGTCGCCACGGAAGGGTCAGCCCAAGTCCTCTGATTTCTTATCCCTCCTGCTTGCGTGCAACCTCCTGAAGCAGCAAAGCTTTGCTCCGCTGTAGACCAGGGCTAAATTTGTCCTCTCCCATCCTGGGTGTCTCTTGCAGAGCTTGTGGCAGGGCAGGCACCAGTGCTGGGGTGGGTTTGAGGATATTTTGCTCCAGCAACGTGAAAGGTTGAGTCCACTTCTTGTTTGTGTTTCTTTGGCACCCCCTGCTCCTTTCATGGCTTGGAGCTGTAGCTGCTCCTGCCCAGCGCGGCCTTCGTGGAGCAGAGGCTTGTACCCATAAATTATTCAGCATGGAATAACCTCTCTCCTGGTTTGTTTTTTGTCTCTTCAAATTTCTGAGCTGATTTTTCTACGCATATTGATAATTGGCAAGGGATCCCTGGAAGGTTTGCCTGTGTACACTTGAGCCAGTAGTTATTTGAGAGTTGTTCATTATTAGCATCTATATTGATTGCAATGCAGCAGTGCCTGGAGGCGGTGGTCAGGATTGGGTCTGAAATGCTGGAGATCAGGCAAAATGAGGAGGAAAAGTAAGTCCGTGGTCCAAAAAACTGGTGATGGAGGGATGGGGGTGAAAAAAAGGTTGGGAGCATGACTGTGTGTGCTGGGCACCTCTGGTGGGGAGAGCGGCAGATGCCAAGCGGTGAATAGCAGGGGTGTTAAATGGCTCTTCCCCCGGTTTGGGGGACCAGTGCTAACCTGGAGCGAAGCCAAGGAGCTCTGGGGATCTGCAGCCTTGCTCCACGGCTCGGCTAGGCACTGTCCAAGTGCCCCGGTGAGGTCTGAGACTGAAACCGCTGAGCTCAGCCATGGTTTTCCAGGGCTAGCTTATCTAGCTTATCTTTTGCCCACTATAGACCTTAAAGACCTGTGAATTCCGCTGCTGTGTCCTACCAGAGGCTGGTTTTTCTCCTGTAGTTGAACTAAGTGCAGATGTTTGTCCTCTCTTGCATTTCCCAGTGAATTTGTGAGCTGCTTCTGATGCGTCTTGAGAGGCAAGGGGTGAAACATGGGGTTATCTGGTGGCTGGTGCGGAGCATCCCTGGGTACGTGCAGGTCCCTGGGAGGAAAGCAAAGTGTTGAGCTGGGAGTTGGGAGCCGTTTTCCATCCGAGGTCTGTGCTGGAGGGGTAGGGGCAGCGGAGGGAGCCGGCAGCATTTTGAACCCTGTCTGGAAGCAGGCAGGGAAGAAACATCCCAAATCTGAATGCAAACACACTTTATTCTTGCTGAAGACCCTTTGTGCAGCTTTGGTAACCAAAATGTGCTTTCAGGGATGTGAGAATCAAGGCTGGGGTGTGTGTGTGTGTGTGTGTTGCTTGGTAGGGGAGGAGTGGGAAGTGCCTGGAAGACCTGAGTTGGGTTCTTAATGAGGCAGCTTATGAGTAGATGTTGGAAAATTACAAGGAGCGCTTTGGAGCGATGGCTGCGCTGGTGCAGAAGCCGCGATAAGCTGAGCCTCTTCCTCCGGAGCATCCCTGTCCTAGGGGCAGGTGGGGAGGGATGCGCTCAGCCTTTCCTCCCAGGAGAAGGGGCACAACAGGCGCTGCTGGGACCTCCAGGTCCTACCCCTGTCCTTAGGTCATGGGAATGGTCATGTTGGCATCTCCAGCTGCTTTTGTGGAGCTAAGGGAGAGGCTGGGGGAGACGGGGGTGCGGTGCTGTGAGCTGCTGGAGCCATGGGGAGTAGTGATCTGGGCGATGCTGAAAGGTGCTTTTTGCAATGGTCCCCTTGAAATTAACTGCTCATAAGGCAGGACAGAAAGTCGAAGAAAACAGGATTTGATGCCTCGTGGGGTCAGGGCTTTACAAAGTGTTCTCGGAGCTTAATTGCTCTGGTGTCAAGTTCTGGAGTCCTAATACCAGCCCTGGCAAGGCACTTAATTTTAAGCATGTGCTTGTATCCCTCGCTGGCAGCCCTTTCCCTGCCAAGCAGGTAGCTGTGGCCAGTGTGTGGTTTGGGTGACGAGCCACCCTCCGCGTGCCGGGGTGATGGCGACAGGCTGTGGTGGGGCCGGCACCGCGGTGGGACAAGGCTCAGCTCCCGCTGCCACCTCTCTCCTCTCGTTGCCTGGCACATAACCATAGCGGCTATTTTCCTGCACTTTCCAGAGTCACCGAGGTGTATTTGGACTCCAAAAAGGGCCGTTCAAATACAAACACGATGTCCAGACGAAGGCATTTCTAATTATTTTCTGGCAGATAAAAGCCATCTTTCTGTCTTGTGTCTGTTCACATGAAAACCTGCGCGATGCCCAGGCTCCAGGCTTCACCTTCCCTCGGCAGCTGGCAAATACAGTCCTGCCGTTGTGTGGGCGAGCCAGGAACTGCTTGTGGAAACAGCCAGAAGTGACCAGTTGTGTGCGGTCCTGAAGGATCTGCATGGAGTGGCTGTGGGATTCATCAGCTCCGTACTGGTGGGGAGGAAACCTCAGCCTTTAAGGTAGCATCAGCTGTTCCCATTGCTTGAGAACGAGCGTTTCTGTAAGCTGTCAGGGCTGCTGAGTTGCTCTTTTTCTGGCCAGGCTTTGGTGTTTGTGGTGGGACATGGTTGTGTATGGGATGTT